GATTAGGAAAATGAATCCCATTTTTGAACTTTGTATAAATACAATTGTCCTCTACATTCTCTTTAAACCCAAACTTTCTTATCGTTCCATAAAACTTTAAATACCATTAGAGGCTTGTTTTAATCCATAAATGGATTTCTTTAGGCGACATCCCATACGTTCTTTTCCTTTTACGACAAACCTTTTGGTTGTGCCATGTAGACATTCTCATCTAAATCCCCATTAAGGAAATCTGTCTTTACATTCATCTGATGTAATTCTAAATCGTAATGCGCCACTAACACCATTAAGATTCTAAAAGAATCCTTGCATGAGACTAAAAAAATGTCTTATTATAATCTATTCATTCTCTTTGCATAAAACCTTTTGTCACAAGTAGCGCTTTAAATCTTTCCACATTCCCTTTGGAGTCATATTTAGTTTTGTAGACCCATTTACAGCCTATTGTCTTGACTCCTTTAGGAATTCTTTCTAAGTCCCAAACACTGTTGGTGTTCTTTGATCTTATTTCATCTTGCATGGCTTCAAGCCACTTTGATGAGTGAGCGCTTCTCATGTCTTCTTCAAATGAGGTGGGATCACCCTCCATTTGAAATTCTTCACATTTATAGACTTCGTAGTCATCAGGAATGACTAGTTTTCTAGCTCTTTGGGACCTCCTAGGGGCCTCATTAGTTGGCGCTTGTTCCATATAGGGCTGTTGTTGCTCTTCCTCATGTGCGACAATGGGTTCTATAGGATCCTGAAGGACATGTTTCTCATGTTCATTTATTGTTGCCATGGGAGAACTAACAATAGGTGCTATCACTACAGTCTCTTGTAGTGTTGGTGCAGCAGCAACAGGTAGCGAGAAAAATGGCTCCTGAACCATCAGAGTGGGCACGTATACCCGCTTCTCCTCAAAGTTAATTTCTCGTGCTACCATGCTCCCCCTGATCATATCATCCTCTAAGAACATGGCGTGTCTTATTTCTACAAACTTCGTATGTCTATTAGGATAGTAGAAACAATAACATTTTGACTTATCTGGATAGCCAATGAAATGGCAACTGACTGTCTTGAAGTCTAGCTTTCTAATGTTTGGGTTAAATACTTTAGCCTTAGCTCGACAGTCCCACATATGTAAGTGGTTAAGTGAGGGTTCCCTTCCTGTCCACAACTCATATGATGTTTTGGGCACCGACTTGCTTGGTGCTCGATTGAGAATATGAATGATGGTTTTTAACGTCTCCATCCATAAACTTATCGATAAAGTGGAGTAACTTATCGTGCTTCTCATCATATCCATTAAGGTATGGTTGCATCTTTTAGCTACTCCATTCTGCTGAGGCTTGCCCGGTGTAGAGTACTGGGCAACTATGCCATTTTCCTGTAAGAACTTTGCAAAAGGTCCAGGAACTTGGCCATATGGGGTATGTCGACCGTAGTACTCCCTCCCACGGTCGGATCTTACTATCTTAATCTTTAAATTATGTTGATTTCCTACCTCAGCCTTAAATATCTTAAATTTATCCAATACTTCTGATCTCCAAGAAAAGGACCACAAATATCTGTGTGAATTATTTCTAAAATTTCTACGCTTTATTTGGTATCTTTCTTTATTTTCTTAACACTTTCCTTTTTATGCAATCAATACATTGTTCTAAATCTGAAAATTCTAATAGCGGAAGAATTGATTTCTTAATCAATCGTTCTATTCTTCTCCTCAAAATATGGTCTAAACGATAGTGCCATAATTTCAATAATACATCATGAACTCCCTTTCGCTTATTTCTTGCATTCATAAATGAGGAGGCATTCTCATTCTCAGTGCTCACAGCATTCACATTCTCAGAAAGCGATAACAAATAAAGCTCATCTTGTCGGAAGGCAAGACCAACACACTTATGATTAAACATTATCTTATATTTGCCATTACCAAATTGGCAATCAAATCCATCATTATCTAAACATGAAACACTTATTAAGTTTCTACACAAAGATGGTACATAAAGTATATATGTAAGCTTAAGTACAAATGCACCATTTAATTCTAATGGGAGTTCTCTAATGGCTTCAACTTTAGCTTTGACTTCATTTGCCACCTTAATGTGTCTTTCTTCTCTTTGCAGGGTCCTCCACCTATAGAATCCCTGTAATGAATTTACAACATAAATAGTTACACCTGAATCAATCCACTAAGTAGATTTTGCATAACTTAAATACAAGGACTCATCTATGAATGTAATAATGTCCTCACCTTTTCTCATTTGGTGCTTCAGGAAATCTAGACAATCCTTCTGATAGGATCCAGTCTTCAGGTGTCCTTGTCTACTTGAACATAGTTAGATTTCTGATGGTGATCTTTCTGTGGTGCCTTTCCTTGTGACTTAGAGGATGAGCTATTGTCTCACTGAGGTTTTCCTTATGGTTTGTCTTTCTTGTTGTTAAAGTTCTTCTTTTATTTTCTTTCACATGGTTGGCTAAGTCACCATGTGAGCTCTTAAGCCTCCCCTCTTCTTGCACACACATTGCAATGAGCTTCTCAATGTCCCACTTATCTGACTGTAAGTTGTAGTTCACAACAAAAGTCTCATATTCTTTGGGCAAAGAAGCAAAAATCAAATGAATTAGGAACTCATCCTTGAGTCCCAAGTCCATTGGCTTAAGCTTAGATGCAGTATTGCTCATCTTTAATATGTGCTCTCTAATCCCTCCACAAGAGTATTTCTCATTAACTAACTTCTTAATAAGAGTGTTTGCATAAGCCTTTGAAGAGCCAGTAAACCGACTCTTCACCTTCTTCAGATACTTAGTGGCGGTGGTACATTCTGGGATTGATCCCCTTATTGGATCCTAAATAGAGCTCTTAATCACCATCAAACACTTATGGTTTGAACTATCCCACTTCGCACAATTAAGATCGTACTTCATTCTCACTTCTGCATGGTCACGCTGTCGAGTAGCTAAAGCTGCATCAGTCTCATTTGCTTCCCTCACCGGGTCCACTGGTTCAGTGGGACACAGAGAGGTAAGTGCTACATCATTGTCAGAGAGCACAAGTGCTATCTCAAGCTTCTCTCGCCATGTGTTATAGTTGCTCCCATTGAGAGGTGGAATGGACGAGATAAACGTCATTGGGTTGTAGCCTAAAAACAACATCAGAGAAATTGAGAAACATTTAACATAATAATTGCATGTCGTAATTTAACGTTGGTCAAAATTAAAACATGCAATATTCTTCTATACTAATTCTGCATCACCGTTGGGCAAAAATAGAACTAATGCATAAAACTCATAAAAAAATTATAATATTGCTATCATCAACTTTGCTAAGAAAATAGCAATATTATAAATATAACATTCTTCTACATTAATTCTATAACACCGTTGGGCAGAAATGGAACTAATGCATGGAAAAACAACTCATGAATAAACTTATAATATTGTTATCATCAACGTTGGTTAGAAAATAACAATACCATAATTTAACTTAAACAAAAAATGCCTACTTCTTCAATTATAACTTCCCCGTTGGTCCCATTTAATTAGAGCATTAACATAATCATAGCAGCAGAAACATGAAAAAGAAATTTATCTAATTTCAAGAAGCATTTTACTGTACTCATCTACTCTCTGAAAAAATTATTCTGTTGGTTCAAATTATGACAGAGATTTAAAACTTCAAATTTGACAAAAGTTCATCTAAAATTGCTTATGAAAAAAATAAAACAAAATACAAGACTGTTATTGTACATTTTAGCCCGAAGGCCCAGCTCGCGCAGTGACCCACGACCACTCCCGCGTGGCCCAATGGCTCACGTGGCGCTGCCCGCACTCCCCATGCCCAGGCCGCAACCTGGGCCTGGGCTAGGATTTGCCAATCCTGCCTGGGCCGAATCGAGCCCGGCCGCTACCGACCATCCGATCAAGATCGACGGCTGGCCACGCTTTTTTGGCCAATCAAAACAGCGATCGCGGCGGCCCTCCCTCTAACCCTAGCTCATTTCTCCCTCTCCCTCTCGGCGCCAAGGTAGTAGCAATGACGGCCACTGCAGCAGCAATCGGAGGAAGAAGGATAGTGGCGCTGCCGCAGGCCCCCTTGCTGGCACGCGCGTTCACCCGAGGGTGAGCGCGCCGCCGTCGAGTGGTCTTGTTGCGGTGCCCTGAGCCTGGTCTCAGGAGGATCCACACGCCGGCGAGGCCGCGCCCTCCAGCGGCTCCCTTCCTGCGTGCCGGCGAAGCGGTGGTGCGGTCTACTTCCCGTGCGACGGCGGTGGTTGCAGAGGTAGAGGAGCCCCGTGAGCCGCCCTTTTCTTCATTTTCTTCCTTAGGGTTAGGGTTAGGGTTTCGAATCTTGAAATTGAACTCATCTCCTTCTAATTTCTACCCCAAAGCCTAGATCTACGCCTAGAATAGGCTCAACTAATACCATTGTAAAATTTAGTGGGTCAACTAGGTGTAGATCAATGGGTGGAACCTCTTCTATTCGGGATAAGAAGTCCTAGAACATGAACTATGATGAGGAACTAGAGAGAAATAGAGTGAGGTGCGGTGGTAGCTGACCATCCGCGGGCTTGGCGGAAGAAGAGGCCATGACGATGGAGTTGAAGAGGACGCCGGTATGTTGGAGTCAAGGAGGTAGTAACGATCCCGGTGGCGGCGTGGTCCAGTGGCGACGGCGAAGGAATGTAGATGGGGTTTGTGGAGGCTGCGGTGAACCTCGTACCCAGTGCCTCGGCCCCCACCTTCCTCTTTATAGCGCTGCGTGATGGTGGCCCACCATCCATGATTGGGTTGGGTATCCCCAATCAGGACGTTGATCAAAGGCCCGTATTGACCTTTGGACCAACTCGATGGAGATCAACCTAACATACATAGAAACTGCAGTTGTGTGCCACCTCTTTGATGCTGTTCTCGTAGCGGCCGAACTTGACAGCCGTGACGCGCATGCCGAGGAACCAGGTCTCGACCTCGATCCAGGCACCCTACGCAGTAACCGATCGGAGTCCGCCGATGCACTACGCCAACGTGTCCTGGACGACGGCGTGGTCCTCGACGAAGGAGAAGGTGCCGCCCGTAACCTCCGTGATGTTGTGCATGTCCGCCGCGTCGACGTCGGAGCTCAACCTGAACGTGTGCACCGGCGTGCTCCGCCAGCCGTTGTCACGTAGGAGAAACTCTGGCAGGAGGACGCACGAGTCGCTCGTCGTGTAGCCGCGGCCGTCCGATATGAAGATCACGCCGACGATGTCATTTCTGTGTTGGCTGCTTTCGAGCACCTTCGCCGCCTCGTCGAGGCCAGCGCGGACGTTGGTCGAGCCGCCGGACGCTTTGAGTGCCTCCACGGCGCACTTGGCCGTGGCCTTCCCGTCCTCCGTCATGCACGTCAGCCGCGTGACCCGGCGGGTGTCGCCCGAGAAGGCGACGACGCTGAGTCGGTCGTGGGGGCCGAGGCTGTCGATGAGGAACCTTACGATGCTTTTCACCTGTGCCAGCTTGGCGCCCGACATAATCTCGCTGACGTCGAGGACGGTGACAACATCCAGCAGCGCGTGCCTAGCCTCCGCTGCCGACAGCGCCGGTGCCCTGACGTGTACCATCACCGTGAAGCCGTCGCGTGCCACGTCGTCGGGCAGCGCCGGGTACTTGCAGTGCGTGCTGAGCTCGAGCACCCTGTTCCCCGCCGTGTTCGCCGGCTGCCACGTCACCGGCTCATCGTCGTCGTAGATGGATCTTGTCATCGTGCCCGTCATGGACTCATCCTCTCCTTCTCCTTGATCCGTCTCCATGGAGATGGGAGTAGCAATAATCTACCGCCAGGAAGGATGAGATAATCTTTGTTTGTTTCTGGAATAAGATACAACCTGTTCGGTTGGCTGGTTCGTATCGTTGCTGGTTCGTGAAGAAGTACTGCTGGTTGGTTTGTGTGAGAGAAAAATATTGTTCCGGCTGAAAATTTACGATCGTTTATGACAAGCCACAGCCAAACGAACAGGCTGATAATATTTTTAGCAATCAATTATTCATCAATAACTAACACTGTTACTCATATACAGTACAATGCAACAACGGATCGGGAATCCAGCTACGAAACGACTGAACGAGGAACTGGGCCAGTTCGGCCCGGCTGGCAGTTCCATTCCTTTTGAAAAAAAGTCATTTTGATTTCACTAGTACTTCCTGGAGGGCGTCCGTTCATTCGGATGCTCCTGTTGGTGGGCCGTGAGCCCAACGACCCCCCTCCTATTCTAATCTCATCTGCTCGTCTACTTATTTCTCCATCCTATCCTATCTGCTTGTCGACTCATTTCTCGAGAACCAGTCACACATAAATCATCGCAGTGCCGTGACCGTGCTCCGTCACACCGCCTCCGATGTCTGGGCGCTCGCTGACCGGCATATCCACTGTGCCCGAGTGCAGCTGCCCGCCTTCCTCCCTCTCCATCGCGCCCCCTACCTACCGTGGCCGCCCGTCTTCCTCCTAGCCCTTGCGTTGTCGTCACCTTGCTTAGTGCCAGATGTGGCTGCCTCTCCGGCCGCTTCCTACACCATCCCATGGCACAACCCTTCGCCAGCGGCGCGTAGTAGATAAAATCCTCTGCCACAGGCGTACGCAGCCGCGCGGCCCTCCTGATTGTTATGGCGTCGTGCTGTGCCGGCTGCCTTGAGGCGCTTCCGCCCCTTCCTCGTGTAGATGCCTTTCATGTCGCCCGTGCTGATGGGCGGCCGCTCGTGGATGATCATGGACGGCAGTGGCATGGTGGCTTGGCGCAGCGGGGCCATGCACGTAGTTGCGCTCCCTCCGTGTGGCAAGCAGCAAGGAGATGTTGTGCGAGAGCGCATGTTGCAAGCATATGTTTCAGGGGTATGTGTCGATGAAATCTAGCCGGCAGTCTACCGAGGGGTATACCCACGGTAGTAGATGATCGATGGAGGTGCGCATAATAGGAACCGGATGGTGACACGGGCGCAGAGACAACGGTTTAGATAGGTTCACGCCGTCTGATCGACGTAATACCTTACGTCCTTTGTCTTTGGTTGATTGTATTGAATATGAGATGAATTCGATAGGGGTCTCTACCCGCCTTATATAGTCTGGGGGTAGGGTTACCAGTCTATTTAGTCCTAGATCTATTCAGTTATATAGTAAGTATTTACAAGGAATACAATATCTATCATATCCGAAAAGATCTTCCTTCATCGCCAAGATGTATTCTTATTGTCTTGTAGTACACGCCGATCAGAACTGGACACCGTAGGCCTTGATCTTATGGGTTGGACCTCCCCTGGTGGTGCGGCCCATGTCCATTGCCATGGGTATCTGAGGTTATACCCCCCACAGTATGTTGCATGTGTTTCATATGGATGTTGCAAAAGTTGATCGGAATGTTGCATATATTGCAATGGCTATACACGCATGTTGCAAGAGTCTGTTCATCTGTTTCTCAGACATATGTTGCAAGCGTTTTATCTAGATGTTGCATACGTTGCAAATGTTTTATATGGATGTTGCATATGCTTACAACAGCTTTCAAGTGTTTTTAGGCATTTTCACAAGTGTTGCAGACGTATGTTGCAAGTGTTTCAGTTTTTTCGGATGTATATTGCAACTGTTTAATCTGGATGTTCCAAAAGTAGATCGGTTGTTGCATATGTTGCAATAGGACCGACCTATCGTTGCTGCCTGCTGCAGCTGCTAGGGCGTCGTGCATGTGGTTCCTGTATGAAGCGGGCGTGGGATGCATCTGGCACAGGCACAGGCAGTCCCCATGTGCGTGCGCGAAAGCAGAGCTGAAGTGGGCGGTTCCCTTGTGTGTGCGGAGGGCGCGGGCAGGGCGACACGTCCGCGCAACGCGGGTGCGGAAAACGAAGGTGGCGCCGGAAACGGAGAGACGCGCGACTCCCTTTTGATTTTCCCCCAATATAAGTGTTTTTTATATAACTCATCTATTATGTAGTTGGTCCTCCCCAATCACAGACTAATTACACTTATATAACTTATATATAAAAAAGTATGATTTTTAGACTGTTTGGCAATACTCATGCCCCTAAACTTATGCAAGATTTTAGAGGTCATCCTCTTATGTGTTTGTATCAATTTTATACTAGTAATTCAAATCTCATCGAACAAAATTCATTTTTATGTTTGTAAGTAAAAAGTAGCAAATAAAGGAGTTTTTTTTGCGGTATTGTGGTATCTAGCCGCTGGATCCTGTAAGTGATAGATAAGTAGAGCATCTGCTAGCAAACAGACACGGAAACAAGATCATATAAGATTCAAACAATTCCATGCTATGTACCAAGTATGAGTTCAAGGGAAAAACTGAAACTAACTTCAGATTTTCCAGAGCTAAAACAAATATATAAGACTAGATTAAACTTTGGACTTTTGATTGCATATTTTTAGGAAAAACATTTTTATATATTTTTTAAAACTATTTTTATACTCTAATTGATCCCTTAGGCCTTTTTTTTTGTGAAAATTGATCCCTTAGCTATCAGTGTGGTTCGATTTACTTCCCTCATAGTTGAAGTGGTGACACATAGGACGGTTATCACGGCGCCACATATACCAAAACTGATCGGTGTGCAAATTCGGATGATTTCAAAAGTTTTAGGTGGTCAAAAACTGGTTTTCTGATTGGGGGAGGCAAATCAGATTTCAATGTAAGTTGAGGTCAAATGGTCTGTTTCCTTGAGAAGGAGCAATAAATCAAGTTCTGGATTTCAATCTTAAACAAAACTATATAGAAAGCCTATATATCAATAAATCACCCAACCTAATGAATACTTGAACATTTCACTGGATTATAGTAAGTAATTTATTTATAATTTATAATTGCTGCTAGCCCTGCCCTTCTGATCTAGGAGCAGCTCTTCATACTAGCATTTGCTTATCATCGCTCAAGTAGAAGACGGCGGTATCTGCTCAACATGCTGAGACGAGGGACAGCCGATGCCAACCTTGCCTCCAGTCGCGAACGAGAAGGAACGGTCTTGCTTCCATTCTCCGGCAATGGCGGCCGCGGTGGCATCTCCTGCCGCTTACGCAACATCTCCGACAGCTTCTCCATCTTCCGCATCGCCAGGGTCGCGAACACCGACGAACCCACACGCCGCAGACAAACCGAACCGTCGACGAGCCGCGCTGCAGCGAGTGCGAGCTCATGCTGGCGAGAATGCACGCGCGGCCCGTCTTCCTGTACTCGCGCTCGTCCGACAAGCGCTGGCTCAGCTCGTGCAGCTCGGCCGCCACCGCCTTGCACATCGCGTCGTCGCCGGACAGCGCCGGCGCCGACCGGCTCAGCGACTGCCGGCGCGCGTCGAGGATCCGCGCCACCTCGTCGTAGGCGCCGCGCTCGGCCGCCTCCCGCGCCAGAGCCATGTCCTCCGCCGCTGCCACTCGGAGGAGCTCCGCTCGACCTCCACGCACCGCGCCACGTCCGTCGCCTCGAGGGGCCTCAGGATCTCGTCGTAGCTGTCAGCACCCGGCGTCGTCAAGTCTCGGGATGTCCAAGAAGCACAGGAAGCGCCTCTCCTCGTCTGCGTAGAGCTCACCGACGTCGACCGAGCCTTCATCGTCCGGAAATTTGCTTGTCACGCTGCGGCCGGCCATGACCGCCGTGACGTTGAGATCGTCGTCATCCTGCGCGCAACTGATCTCGAGAAAGACATCCTGCGCAGTAACCGATCGGAATCCGCCGATGCACTGCGCCAACGCGTCCTGGATGACGGCGTGGTCCTCGATGAAGGAGAAGGTGCCGCCCACAGCCTCCGAGATGTTGTACATGGCCGCCGCATCCAGGTCCGAGCCCAACCTGAACGTGTGCACCGGCGCGCGCCACGAGCACAAGCCGCTGTCGCGCAGAAAAAACTCCGGCACGACGCAGCTGTCGTGACCGTCCGAGACAAGGATCACGCTGGCGACGTCGTTCCACTGCCGTCTGCCGCCGAGCACCTTGGCCGCCTCGTCGAGGCCGGCGCGGACGTTGGTCGACGCCGGCGTGCACGCTTCGAGGGCCTCCACGGCGAGCTTGGCGGCGGCCTTCGTGTCGTCCGTTATGCGCGTCAGCGGGATGACCTGCCGGGCATCGCCTGAGAAGGCGACGACGCTAAGGCGGTCGATGACGAACGCCATGGCGCGCTTCACCTGCGCAAGCTTGGCGCCCGCCATGCTCTCGCTGACGTCGAGCACCGCGACGAGATCCAGCAGCGCCGCGGTCACCAGCGCTGGCGCCTTGAGGTGCACCATCACCGCGAACCCGTGGTGGTCCGCGCCGTTGGCGACCGCCGGGTACTCGCAGTACGTGTTCTGTTCAAGCACCCCGCTCCGCGATGCGTGCACCGGTACTGGCAGCGGAGCCTCATCTTCGTCGTAGGCGGAGCTCATCGTGCCCGTCATGGAGTTAAGCTCTCCTTGTCGTCCTTGATCCATCTCCATGGACATGGAGTAGCAATAAGCCAATAAATCTACCGCCGGGAAGGAGATAATCTCTATATTTATGGAAAGAAGTAATAATTTTAGAAGAGTTAAATGCACCAGAGATCCATTAACTTGTGAGAAAGTTTCAGTGAGTCCATCAACTTTTAAAGTGGCTTTTTGGTCATAAACTTTTAAAATGATTCACTGCAGTCCATACCTATTTATTTAACCTTAAATTCAAAGCACATTTGTAGAAAACCCCTTCTCAGACACATGCAGGTGCATGCATGGCTCCCAGAGCCCTCCTCCAGCCGCCGCCGTGCCACCAGAGACCGGCGAGCAGGTGCATGCATGGCTACCAGTGCCCGCTGGCCGAAGCCGCCCGCGCCGTGCCTTGTTCATTCTCAGAAAAATCAGATAACTGCATGCATGCGGCTGGCCTGATACATACATGGCACTGCTCTGAGGTTTGCAGGTCCATCATGATGGCTCTGCCAAACTTGCGTTACTTCGTCGACGCCGCGACGGCGGCGGCACGGATGCGCGAGATGATCGACAAGCTGCAGCCTCTCGAGACGGAGGGCAAGAAGGGCGCCACCAAGGAGGACATCAGGGGCCAGATCACGTTCAGGGACGTGCATTTCTCGTACCCGTCCAGGCCTGACACGCGGGTGCTCGACGGCGTGAGCCTCACCATCTCTGAGAGCGCCACCGTTGGCCTCGTCGGGGGGAGCGGGTCCGGGAAGTCCACCATCATCTCCTTGCTGCAGAGGTTGTACATCCAGGACTCGGGCGAGATACTGCTGGACGGCAGTGACATTGGCACGCTCAACGTGGAGTGGCTCAGGAGCCAGATCGGCCTAGTGAGCCAGGAGCCTGTGCTGTTCGCCACGTCCATCAGGGAGAACATTCTGTTCGGCAACGAGGCGGCCTCGCTGAAGCAAATCGTCGTGGATACGAAACCAATGTATGCAGACATTTCAAATTCTGGCAACAAAATGAACTAGCCGTTTGATCACACTTCAGTAAATGAATCTGCTTGCACTTGCAGGTCGGGCAGTTCGGGACGCAGCTATCGGGAGGGCAGAAGCAGCGCATCGCCATCGCCCGCGCGCTCATGCGGGACCCCAAGATCCTGCTCCTCGACGAGGCGACCAGCGCGCTGGACTCCGAGTCGGAGCGCGCGGTGCAGGACGCGCTGGACCGGGCGTCCGTGGGCCGGACGACCGTCGTCGTGGCGCACCGCCTCTCCACGATCCGGAAGGCAGACATGATCGCCGTGCTCGACGCGGGCCGCGTGGTGGAGTGCGGCACGCACGACGAGCTCCTCCTCGGCACGGAGGCCGGCGAAGGCGACGGCGTCTACGCACGGATGGCGCTGCTGCAGAAGGCGCCCGTGGCGAGGGAGGAAAGCGAGCGAGTGGTGGAAGTAGAGCCGGAGAGCAGCAGGGTGTCGTTCCGTAGCGTTGAGATCATGTCGGTGCCCAGCGACTTCCACCCAAGCCCGGTGCCGTCGTTCAGGTCGGTCGAACGCTCCGTGGAAATGGTAGACCACGGGCGCGACGGCCACGACCCGGCGCGCGGCAGAAAGCCTTCGCAGCTCCGCCTGCTCAAGATGAATCGGCCGGAATGGAAGCAAGCTCTGCTCGGGTGCGCCGGCGCCATCGTTTTCGGTGCGGTGCTGCCGCTCTACTCTTACAGCCTCGGAGCTTTGCCGGAGGTGTATTTTCTCGGCGACGATCACCTCATCCGTTCAAAGACCAGGTACCGTGCGATGTGTCCGTCTGTGCTCGCTGATACAGATTGCAGAGTGACATGGCGATGTCAGTGACGTTTGTCTGAACTCTGTTCTGAACAGGCTGTACTCCCTCGTCTTCTTCGGCATTGCCATCATCTGCATCACGGCGAACATCGTGCAGCACTACAACTTCGCCGTCATGGGCGAGCGCCTTACAGAGCGCGTCCGTGGACAGATGTTCGCCAAGATACTCTCCTTCGAGGTCGGGTGGTTCGACGAGGACGAGAACTCGAGCGCCGCGGTGTGCGCGCGGCTGGCCACGCAGGCCACCAAGGTCCGATCCCTCGTCGGCGACCGCATGTGCCTCCTGGTGCAGGCGGCCGCCAATGCGGCGCTAGGTTTCTCTCTGGTCCTCGCCGTGTCGTGGCGGGCTGGCGGCTCGCGGTGGTCATGACTCATGATGGCGATGCAGCCACTGATAATCGCGAGCTTCTACTTCAAGAAGGTGCTCATGACCGCCATGTCCAAGAAGGCCAAGAAGGCGCAGGTGCAATGGAGCCAGCTCGCCAGCGACGCTGTCGTGAACCACCGGACGATCACCGCGTTCTCGTCGCAGCGTCGGATGCTCCGCCTGTACGAGGCCGCGCAGGAGGCGCCGCGGAAGGACAACAGGGTGGAGTCGTGGTACTCCGGCTTCTGCCTGTCCGTGTGCCAGTTCAGCAACACGGGCAGCATGGCGCTTGCGCTGTGGTACGGAGGCAGGCCGCGGCCGGGCGGCTTCGGCCAGCGGGCACTGGCAGCCATGCATGCACCTGCTCGCCGGTCTCTGGGGGCACGGCGGCGGCTGGAGGAGGGCGCTGGGAGCCATGCGTGCACCTACATGCGTGTGGGAAGGGGTTTTCTATAAATGTGCTTTAAATTTAAGGTTAAATAAATAGGTATGGACTGCAGTGAACCATTTTAAAAGTTTATGGACACAAAAAACCACTTTAGAAGTTGATGGACTCAACTGAAACTTCCTCACAAGTTAATGAATCTGTGCTGCATTTAACTCTTTTTAGAAACCAATCTTTACTAACTATGAGGAAAAGCCAAGCTAAAAAAAAAACTTTATGGAAAAGACTCCGCCGGCGTTACCTGCAGCCACTGAACGACCGATTTTTTGTGAAAAACACAGACAATTTTTTATCCGAAAATCGTTTGGGGAGGTTAGGATTCGTGGCAATAAGATTATTACTATGTTTGAGATGCTCTAATAAGTATGCTATATTTCACTTTTACTAATCGTCAGGTGCCTGAAAATTTAAGTTACACCAGGCGACGTGCTGGCCATGTGGCACAGCCACATTGTATTTGTCCTCTTGCGATTTGTTTATAATTTATTAATTGTCTTTGTGTTACAATATATTATTTTTTCCTTATCTAACTATAGAAAGAATTATAAATTTTTAATTGTCTGTATGCCAATATATATTAGATTTTGTCAGGGCTGTGGTTTTATCTATCGGGTTTTTTATTCTAGGATCCGAAAATTGCAGATTATATCTACAGAAATTGTAATAACGAACTAAAGCTACAATTTTAACATGAGAAATATGTAATATCTGTTGCCCAAAAGAAAGCTAAAATTCATGCACCTCAATTTTAGCAACTCCCATATTATTTTGAAGTTGTCTATAGCCCGACCTAGCACCGGATTTTTGGACCGCCCGATGAACCTTATCTAATGACCTAGCATCGCCTCTCTCTAACCTACTTTTCTTTTTCCTTTCACATTGTTTCCTCCAATCCACGTGCTTACCCCTCTGCCCATCTTCCAGGTTCCCCACCGCCAAATCTGTGACCGCCATCCACTCGAACGATAACCTAGCTCCACCGTGCTATCACCGTAATGCCCCACCCTATCACACCTCCACAAAAACTATTTTATAGAATGCACAAATAAATCAATGTTTTTCTAACATTTTTTCCAACTTTTAGTAATAAGGTACCATTTGCATCCTTAGAGATTTTAAAAATCTGGGTAAAAAAATCTAATGTGTTTTATTAGATTTCATGTCCGTGTGGTCAAGGTTTTTTTAGGCGCTAGGCGGTTTCTAGGCGGTGACCCATCGCCTAGCGCCTAGGCGCGCCTAGGCAGGCCTAGGCGTTTTCTAGGCGTTTTGACATTTTTTGTATCTCAGCATATATAGCTAAATAAATTATATAAATATAGTAGAGTGAATTTTATAAAAAGAGAGAAGGTCCAATAGACATACCTTAGTTGATAGAAAAGCGATGTTCATGCTTAGTTCATAGTTGATAGTTGATACAATCATACAATACCTACAAGTGGAGAACAGACCATATCAGTAGTTAAATATAAATGGATAGCAGACCATATGAAATAGGAAAGAGCAGGTTAGGTACTTATCTCAATGATCTTAGCCCTTTCCTATCCATCGGACATTATCAGCAGCAAATGATAGCCATTTGAAACCACAAACATGTAGGGATAACAGTAGCAGCAAAGAAAATTAAATGGTACATAACAACACATAATTCAATTCTTAAAATACAGAACACAGGCACACAGACTGCACTCACTGCAGGAGTTCCAAGTTCATAAGTTAAAGATACAATTAAAAGATAAACATGACATGATAAAGCCCCACCGCCATATCTTCTTCAATAGGGTTCCATATATTCATCCTCATCTTCATCAAACTCTTCATCTTGAGTCAAATTCTTCTCCTTCATAAAGCTGCCTCACTCTTGCACTTCTCACGCAGCTCAAGTTGTTGGTCCGCTCCTCGCTTCTCCAATAACAGACCAAGTTATCCCTGTACCTTCCATCTCCTCATCTTCCTCATCTCTATAGACAACTATTGCACAATCATCTCCATCCTCATACAGAAAACCTTGAGCTTCAGCTTGTCTCACTAGACAAGAGAACATCGATGGTTTTCTTTGACGCTATCCTTTCTTTCTTATTAAGCAACTTGGAGTTGAATTGAATAAAGACCAATTTGTTGAGTCGGGTTGTAGTAAGCCTATTTCTCTTCTTAGTGTGTATCTACAAATTAAACATGAGAGCATATAACTATTTTTATTCCTGTAAGTTTACTGGTGAAATCTAGACAGTAGATAGGGACTAACCATTTCAAATGTACTCCAATTTCTTTCACAACCAGAAGAGCTTGATATCAGAGATAGGATCCTTGTTGCCAACTTCTGTAAAGCGGGTGTTTCAGTTCCATATAGCCGCCACCAAGATGCTGAAATAAATGAGCAGAAACTATATAACAGCCATGCAATAGCACTGGATAACAAAATGTTGGTGTGCTAAACTCATCATTAAACTCATCAATGTAATGTATGATACTGCAGGTCATTGCCTGGTAACAACATCACTGGTGGCATACCCGAGCAGTTTGGCAACCTCTCTCGGTTGACAAGCTTAGATTTGGAAGACAACCTGTTCAGTGTTGCAGTTCACCGGAATCTTTTAAGATTGATTGGTTTCTGCACAACACAAACAGAGCGCCTACTTGTTTATCCTTTCATGCAGAATCTTAGTGTGGCCTACCGTCTGCGAGGTACTCTCTTTTTTTAAGTCTTAACTAGCTAATCACTTGTTTCATTGCATTTAGTTCTGTACTGTTACTACTCTATGAAGTTACTTAGACCATGAGTGTGCTTACAGATTATGCAACTCATGTATTTAGAAGCTAGCATAGTGAGTTACTTTTTCATAGGCCACTTAAATAGTTAACAGCCATGGCAATCAAGGATAGATGCCGAGGTACTTTTTCATAGGCCACTTAAATAGTTAATTAGCCTCTTGATAATGATAATGATAGCAGCAACTCTATAACAGCCATGTAATATGAGTTACCTGGGTTGTACTCAAAATTTTCACAAGTCTTTGCAAGCTTCTTGTTAAATGGTCCTTCTCTATTACGAAACTTGTCTAGTTCAGTGTTGACAGCCTGATCTTGCTTGTCCTCATCATGATGATAAAAAGTCTCTACACAGCTCATAAAACCTACTGTTATTGTGGCATCATCAAAGATTGATGGGTTGCCATAGCTGTAGTATGGATTCAGCAGATAGGCAGTCAAATGCAATGGAGAATCAAGTCTTCCTTTCATCTTCTTGTCAATAATAGCAATAACTTCGTTGTAGCGGGACTGAACATTGCCATAGGCTTCCTTGATCTCTCTCTTTGCCTTCAGTAGTTCTCCATATATGAAACCCATTGATGGCTTCACATCCCCATCAACCAAACGAAGAACTTTGACCAATGGCTCAAAAACACTCAAACACAGCTTCACATCCTTCCAAAAGGTTGGACTCAATATTGTTGCTGTTGCATCTTTTCCCTTTTTTGACTTCACATCCTTCAATGTGTCCAACCTATTATGAACCACCATCTTTCTTAGTTGGTCCTTCTTCTCTAGTATGCTATTCAAAGTGAGAAAAGCTGAAGCAAACCTAGTCACTCCTGGCCTTATTATCTCTCTCCCCTCTGTGAAGTGTCTCAAGCACTCCAATGTTCTTGTGTGCCCATAGACAAATATGGTTAATGCCTTTGCTTGGTCAATCACCTTCTTGAACCGTGGCATGTTGCCAATTCCTTGGAGCATCAAATTGATTGTGTGAGTTGCACAAGAGGTCCAAAAGATGTTTGGTCTCTTCTCAAGCAATAGCTTCTTTGCTCCCATGTTGTTAGAATCATTGTCTGTCACTACTTGCACCACATCATCCAATTTTTGAGGTATATATAAACCTTTTAAGAGCTCTAAATATTTTATCTATCTATGAGAATTTTATCCAAATCTTAGAAGTTATGAAATATTTTTAGGGATTTAAGATGATTTTAACTTTTTTCTTGAATTGTTGACCATCTCTGTCATTGTAGGATGCCACCTCATATAGACCTACAATGTTAATACGCATCCAAACAAGTTTCTTTCCAAGCTCGAGCAAAGCCAGAACTGGCTAGATGGAGGTGCTTTCTACTTGTATTCTAGCTATAGATCGGTGCTATGAGGTTCGAATTTAATACTTCGACATGGGCGTCCGTTCGGACGCGGCTTCTCACTCTGCCTCGCCCACCTCTTTTAAGAAAAAAAATCTCCCTACTCCGTCTCGCTCTCCCCATCTCTCGGTCTCTCTCTCGCATCCACTGGCAGCAGCAGAGCCCAAGCCGACCACGCCGCCCCTCCCACAGTTCGGCAGTGCCTTCCCGGTCTCCTCCCCAACCCAGCGTCGTCGGGATGCCTCGCCGCCATAGGCTGCCGCCGCTGCCCCTACCGATGGTGGTTGGGCGCACATGCAGGGGCGCCTCAGGTCGTCCCCGGCCAAGCCAAGGGGCACCCACGAGCGTTGCCGGTGCTGGTGGTGCTCGCAGGCCACCGCTCGTCGTTGGCTGTAGGGTCGAGATGGCAGACCAAAGGGGAGGGTAAATAGTCCTTTTTATAAACAATCACGTCGGCTAACTGATACAAGTGCGGAATTAAAATTATCGGTCTAGCTAAGACAACACCCCTCTATCTAAGTTATCAAGCACCTTGAAAAGATCCTAACCAAGCAACTAAGATGTCGGGTTAGCTAGAGCTCACCAAACCAATTCTAGGAGCAAGCCCACACAAACCTATGCCACTAGTACTTCAAGCACGGGGGAGCTTCTACACAACTAGTAAGCAAAAGCACAAAGCTCCTAAGCTCACTAGCAACGCTCAATAACAAGGCAACTAATGCCAAATTAGAGAGCGTAAATTATTTAGCTACACAAACTAAGCAGTGTGATTATCAAGGTTACAAAAACAAAATTAGCCATGTATGGGAGCTACTTCTATGCTACACAAGCAATAAGGTAACTAGTAAGCTACTAAAGCTAAACTAGTCACAAGAGTAACTACACAAGCACAATGTAAATGAAAGTAATACAATCTTGTGTTACGCGGAATGCAAACCACCGAGAAGATGAAGACAATGTTGACACGGTGATTTTTTTCCGAGGTTCACTTGGTCTTGATCTTCTCCACCTTAGTAACATGACTCAATGTCATGTCTCATATTCAATGAGCTCCATCATCACATGTGTGAGCCTTGCAATAAATCCAAGCCATCTTCACCGTCATGGCATGAGTTGCTCACACAAGTACCTATGGACTAATCACCTGTGTATCTCACATTAAACAAAATTAGTCCATCTAAAGTTGTCACTCAATTATTAAAACCAAACAAGGACCTTTCACCGGCTCTCACCTTGACAGTGAGAATCGACAACCCCCGGCCTCTCCCTATGTTGCAAACGTATGTTTCAATTCTTTCATATGTTTCAAAGGTATGTTGCAAGTATTTTATTTGGATGTTACAAAAGTAGATCAGAATGTTGCATATGTTCTAATGGCTATACATGTATGTTGCAAGCGTTTGTTTCAAATGTTTCATCAATTTTTTCATACGTATGATGCGCCATGTTTTTATTTGGATGTTGCATATGTTTCACACATATGTTGCAAGTGTTTTTATCTGGACGTTGTGTATGTTTTGCAATGGTTTTTCAAGTGCTTTTGCATGTGTTTCAAACACATGTTTCAAGTGTTTCATCTGTCTTCAAACGCATGTTGCAAAAATTTCATCTGTATATCTCAAAAGTAGATCGCGTGTTGTACATGTTGCAATATGACTCACCTTCTAGCTACAGCTGTTGGGGCGTCGTGCATGCGTGTGGGAAGCGGTGGGAGGAGCACTGCACGGCTGCGAGCACGGGAAGCGGATGGAGAAGCGCGGGGAGCGGCGTGGGCGGTACAGCAGCAGCCGTGAGCGTCCTGACACTAGTATTGCCCCAAAAATACATCGATTATTTAGGTATTAATGGGCTGAGATGGTGCTACAGCACGACCAGCACCTCCCCTGTTTTAAGTGTATATGCATCTATTCTATTCTGTACTATAAAAGAGCGAAGGAATTGAGAAATACCTGTTACCCAAAAGTTTTTTACCCATCTTACCTGAGAACCATTGGATGACTTAGGTCTTTAAATCTAATGGTACTAATTAATCTTACTGTGGGGCCCTTCCTTCCGCAACCGTGGAATCGACGACTCTGTTCCGTGGGTGTTTTTCAGCACCTCCCTTCGGTGGATGTTGTCCTCTGGTGTGTTGCTAGCGCCGGCGTCGCCTCTCAACCCACCACCGTCGGCGCCGCCCCTTAACGAGCCGACGCTACATGCTTCGCTTCCTCTAGTAGGCGACTCTCTCCCTCTGAGGTGGCAGCGGCAGCGTGTGGGTCTCTTCCTCCGGGCCGGCGGCAGTCGCGCGCCCCATCCCTGCCCTCACCCCTCAGCTGCACATCATCCTTATCTCTGGCGATAGGTGCAAGCATACGCTGCAGCAGGGGACCTGATCCCTTCCGTCTTGCTATCTACTGGTAGGTGTCAGCTTCTCCCCATGCTTCATCCCCTTGTGCTCTCTCAGATCCATTAATTTGATAACCATAGACATTTTTACATTGGTTCGAGAATTTGAGTAGATTTTGAGTGTTGCAGCAGCAGTAGTGGGATTTAACCCATTCTGTTTGCTTTGTAGTCAGGCAATACATTCGTCAGTGTCTCAATTCTGCTTTTATGGCCTGCCAGCCAATACATATTCGGACTGGAAAAGGTGAAAATTGCCTCCTTTCCAACCTATATAGGCAGCACAGAAGCTTAGTCTCGTAATTTTTGTGTATGTAGGACATGCGAAAAGAGGGTTATACACTTGCCAAGTTATTTTTTCCCTACATGCAGATCAGTGATATCCCCAATAATTTCGAGACACAAATACAGTAGTTTTTTGTTTTGTGTTTACTTCTATAACTGATTACACATCTAGCGATTTTGATATATTGTTCGATCAAGCACAGATGCTTACTAAATCATAGAATAATTCTAATTGGACTGAATTTTTCAGGGTTCAGGAATCAGGATCATACTGATGAGAAAGTAGCATCAACCCATATTTTGCCAGCAGCTCGTTACTCTTTGCTCTGATCCCGGAGTCACCCTTCTACCTTGAGGCAAGGGCGGCCTCCTCGAGTTCGTGGAGATTGGAGAAGCACCTCCGCGACAACGGCGACATGGTCCTTGTCGTGGCCAAGGGCGCCGGCCAGGACCTCATCGCCAAGAGCATGTGCTTTGCCTACACCCACGACGTGACGACGCCTCTGGCAACAAGGTGATGCACGACGTCGGGCTCTGGCTCATGGCGCCATGGCTGGGTACGGAAGTTGTATTTGTTAATTGTGTGCCAATTGTTTTGGCAGGGAGCCATTGAAAGCAAAACGACTACACATCACTATCAAACTACAATTTCCATGTGCTTTGATTCTGGTACAAGGGCTGGGGCTTCTTGGAGGACCCAACAAACTTTGACTCCCTGGTTGTGGTGTTCAACAGGTAAAAAACGCTAGATCCCAATTTGGAAAGCAATGCATTAGAAAAGAAAGCACAAGCGCAGTATCAAAATAAATTGAGATTTATTATTATCTATTACAATTTGTATTTTTAACATGTTAATTTCGATATAGTTATTTGGCATCTGTGTTTATACACTTCGGTAAATTAAACGGTGGCGCACTAGAGATGGTTACCTTTGTTATCTATATTATGAATTTTTCAGCCACCGAAGCCACTGCGGAACACTAGAAAAGCGGAGGAGCTAATCCCAGGTCAGTGTGGCATAACATAATGATGATAGCAAACTTCAACGGTTCGTTATGTTCTTCCAATCCTATAGTTTTGTTTACGTCTATATATATTGTTTAATATAATAATGTAAAAAATTATTGAATTATGTTTTAATTTTAATCAATATAGTGTCTGTTATTAAGGGAAGTTATTAGACTTATATATGTGATAAGATATATATATATATCTATAACATCTTGGAATTTGGATTTGTCAAAGTCTGGCCATGAATTTGATGGTAAAATTGATAATTAATAGTGAAAATAATATAATAGGATGTCACCTATCATAGCTATAAACATGTGCGTGCTGCACGCAGGGATTATATGGTAAGGTTTCCAAACCCCGCGAACTCCCTTGCTAGAGCTATGTGATGTTTTGGCCACCTCCACTCCTCATAGGTGTTTGCGTGCTTGCTTGTGATTCTGATTTAAGTTTAACCGGTCGAAATTGCAACTTGTGTTGCAGCTTCCAGCGAAGTGCGCCAGGCGTATAAGCAATTTATCAAGGCCATTGTGGAGTTGTTGAGTATTTCGTGGCGATGACACCGACTATGTTGCTGCCGGAAGAGCCCTTTCCAAAAGGTAACAACGGCTTTCTCTCTCTCTCTTTTCAAGGCTTAAAAACTTGGTAACTCTTTTGCTGTTGTGCTCTTAAATGGGGTTCAATTCTATGCATTGCAATTTGAGAACTCTTAAAGCATTGGAATTTTAAAATGAAAAGCTCAAAAACACTGCTAGCGTAGATTATTGAGGTCTAGATGGCATATGGCTATAATCTCCTAGACAAATAGGCCGGTTGCATAAAAAATGTGTATACAGACCCTTTGTGCTGTGTTACATCATTTTTTTGCATGATTTTGTGTATCCTGTGGATGTTGTAAGTTTAAGCTCTTTCTAATGGATTTGTAAACTTATATGGTTTATATCTCAGCAGGAATGAGTTGGAGAGCCTTGTGGGCTACACTGCACAAGACTCAGTATTGAAAAACCTAGCTCAGTTAGCTCAGTTCCCTTCAACGAGCAAATGCACATGGATCTGCACACAGAATAGTGGATGATGTAGATGAAAATGATAGAAGTGAATTTGGAGTTGCTTTTTAGAGAACACAACACGGCAATCTTGAGATTACAGTATACTGTTCTATTGCCTGTATACTGATCAATTTTCTGTTTAAATGCAGTCCATTATAGTTGTTTGATTTGAATAAATCCATTGATTGTGTAATTATGGCAACATGTCGCCTTGGCTGAAGTTGTCTTCCTGCAATTTTCCTTTTTGCTAACAGGACAACCAGTCTAATTCTGCTTATAGATTTAGACATCAGCAATAAGAAACTACATTGTGTACTTATGCCGTGCCTTTCTATCAATTATTTTTGATACACTTGTTTCCGTTGACATTCCGCATAATTTTGTAACAAAATATTTGTGGTATATACGAACTCTTTTATGTCAACACGTGCGTGTCGTACGTGCATTTTCACTAGTTATATTAACGGCTCCTGAAAGGGGTCACGTGGGCAACCAAATACGTTCCTTAATTAAGGACATAACATGTCTACATGATTATTACTCTACATATAGGTATGTCTTGCATGATAATTAGCTACAAATTAGGTCCAAAATACAGATTAAGGATACAAAGTTGTAAAAATGACATCTAGTGATTATAATCAGGAAAAGTTCAAGTTATACAAGCACGCTAGACCGATGTAAAGTTATGAATATAGATAGTTTATTATTTATAGCTGATTTAATTTTATTTTTTCAAGAATATATCTCCTTTCCTTGCATGTCTGCTTCTTAATCTCTCTTTCCTTACATAAATATCCATAAATATCTCTGATTATTTCAATCTTTTGACGAACTCTACTCGCTTCTACCTTTAACTCTTGATTAGTTTCCTTGCATTCGCTGCTAACCTTAGAGCATCTCCAGCAACTCCCCGCTATAACTCCAATAACATGATAATGGGGATAACCCAATACCACTTTTTAACTTATTGGGGGAGATACAGCAGTAGATAGCCAATAATTATCGCCAATAGAGATGGGCCCACTTGTCAAGCGAAAGATGTTATATTTTTTTTTTCTTTCGTTGTTTTCTCCACGCGGTCATCGCTCTCCTCGCCGCTTCCTTCTCTCGCAGTCGCCCGTCACCGCTCTCTCGCCTGCCCCAGCCGCCGCTTCCTCTCCCTTGCCGGCCGCCGCTTTCTCTCCCCCGCCAAATGCTGCCTTATTCTCTCCCCAAGTACTCCATAGCCGTGGGGCCCACCTCGGATTCCTCCTCCCTTGATCCCGATCCGCCATAACCAATTCGAGCTCTCTATACAGACTGCTCGTGGTGAACGCAGGCTCAAGCTTGAGGAAGCACGCCTCCACCGAGTGTTGGCTCCCCCGTGGACACTGGCGTCAGATCTAGCGGCACCCGCATGGTGGCCCTCTCCACCGCCACGCCTCACGCCTCCTTGACTCCCCTCCAACGCTGTGGCCCTCCTCGCCGAACCCATCCGCGTCCGTCGCCGCACCAGGAGAAGCCTCGTCAGAACAGAAATGTCTGCGGGAAAAAGAAATCCAGTAGTTGGGATGTGGGCGGAGTTCAGCTTACTGATTGAGATATGAATATCAAAGGGGACCGATAGAAACGAAAATCGGTTGAAATTTTGATCAAAAGTTTCAAATCTTAATTAATTTTTAACTGAAAATTTGAAAAACCTGAACAAAATGGAACTAGAATTTATGATATGTGAATTTATCGGAGGTCACTCATAGAAACGAAAATCTCCGGTTTCAATGAAAACCGGCCAAAATTTTGAACGTTGGATGCGGGTGAGTTTTCGGGGGAGCTATATCTCCCCCTCGATGGTGGGGGGGGGGGGGAGTTGGGATGTTTTTTTGGTGGCCACCAGTAGTTGGGGATGAGAAAGGGGATCTGCTGGAGTAACGATTTTGAGCCAACTCCTCCAATAGTAGGTTTTTGGGATATTGTGATCTGCTGAAGATGCAAGCCAACGAATAAGCATGCAAGGCAAGATTAATACTCAGTTCATTATGAGATACCGCAAGCAATATACTTACTCAGTATCATACAAGTCTGGATTTGATCTCTTAAACATTAAACAATGAATACCTAACGAAACCAAATCATTCCATCTGACTATTGTGCTTCTGATCGAACTCGGTCGTCTTCATTCATGTCCTCTGAGAAAGGACAGAACACGGAGCGACGAACCAAACTAAAACTAGTAGCATTTGCTAAGCGCTTGAGTGGCACAGGACGGCGTTTTCTCTGAAACACGCCGAGACGAGGGACAGCCGACGACAACCTTGCTTCGAGGTGAGAACGAGGAGGGAGAGGGACGGTGGCGGCCTTGCTTCTTCCATAGTCCGGCGCATGCTGCGCACGCGACATCTCCGACAGCTTCTCCATCTTCCGCACGGTCGGAGTCACGAACATTGCCGATCCCGCACATCCAAACTGAAGCCTCGACGACAAAGGACGCGCGAGCCGCACCGACGAGCCGCGCTGCTGGGCGTGCGAGCTCATGCTGGCGAGGAAGCACGCGCGGCCCGTCAGCTGGTACTCCCGTTCGTCCGACACGCGCAGGCTTATCTCGTGCAGCTCGGCCGCCAGCGCCTCGCACGTCGCGTCGCCGGACAGTGCCGGCGCCGACCGGGCCATCGACTCCCGGCGGGCGTCGAGGATCCGCACGGCCTTGGCGTAGTACTAGACCTTTGATCGAAGGGCTAAACCATGCTCTAGGCCTGAGAAATATTACACCTAGGATTAGAGAGACCTTTAGTCTCGATTGGTGGCTCCAACCGGGACTAAAGGTCTTTGGCCAAGGGCTCCTGTGCCAGGCCGTTGTGGCAGGGGGACCTTTTGTCCCGGTTGGAGCCACCAACCGGGACTAAAGGTTGACCTTTACTCCCGGTTGGTGGCTCCAACTGGGAGTAAAGTTCTTGTCCCGGCTAGTGGCGTGGCCTAGGACTGGAAAGTGACCTTTAGTCTCGGTTGGATCCACCAACTGGGACTAAAGGTCCCCCCTATAAATCCTGCTGGCCGTCTTCTTCCTCCCCGAGCCCGTCCGAGAGCTTCAGTTCAAATTTAAGCAGTGTTCTTGCTCTTTCTCCATCCATTCTTCGATTTCTCCGTCGATTTCTTCGATTCCTCCGTCGATTCTTCGGTTCTAAAGGTTACCAACTTTATACTCTCATGTTTCACCATTGTATTGTCTCATTTTGTTCACTATATATATGGTTCTTTATTGTGGTTTTTTTATTTGTAAGCAATTTGAGCTCAAAATCACTTCAAGCTTGCATATTTACATTAAGGAAGGTTAAAGTAGCTAGTTGAACTTGCGGACCGTGTTCATCTCGGCGAGCATGTTCTCTGCCGAGCGGTAACGGATGTCAAGGAGGAGCTTTGATTCTACGAGGGAGAGCGGCAACGGTCGTGGAAGACCGTGTTCCCTTCCTCGTAGAATCGGAGCTCTTCCGTGGCCAAGTACGGTGCCATCCGGTGGAGAAATGTTCGCCGAGATGATCATGTAAGCAAGGTCAACTAGTATGGATGGTTATTTATTCACACGTCCCGATATCGTCGCAGTAGTCTGTCAATCACCGTACCCAAACGTAGTATATATATAAATATAAACGATAATCGATTGTTATGTGTGTACACTCCCATTCTTCTGTTAATTTGCAGAAATATCATGTGAATTACTTACCTACCGCAGTAAAAGACGAGAACACAATGACCATGGCCACGGCCATGAAAAATGCCAACGACACAACACTAGCAACTTTCTCGGCAAGTAGAGTAGTGTTAAACGCTCTGGAAACCTTTAAACTTCAAGCTTGCATATTTACATGAAGCAAGGTTAAAGTAACTATTAAAAACTAGTATTCACCATTCATTTGTAGCATGCATAGCACACTTCATTGTTTAGAGATATAGAAAATTTTAGAATTTTTTTATTTTATTTGTTTATAAAATGAGAAATTTATAGTGTATTAAAAAATGAGTATAGAGAGTAGATGGCAACTGCTTTCGGGTCCTCGGCCTCTCATGGGTTTCCAAAGAGACTTAGGCCTGGCCTCCCACTCATTGCATGCGATAAGTGTTGTGATGAGACGAAGATTGTGATGGAGTACTGAGTGAAGAAGGAGGGTCCGAACAAGGGTCACATTTTCTACAAGTGTCCAGATCGTAATGTGAGTTATTTTATCATATTTAATGACCATGGTTAGTTTATACCTATTTTCATGATGGTTGTGATTAAAGTTCTAATTTTCTGTTTTAATTTTAGTGGGATGACACTGGATGTTCAGGCTTCTACTGGGAGGAAGAGTATGTTGAACTCGTGCAAAAATATCTTGCACAACAGGCAGATATGGCGGCTAATGAGGCAGTGATCCAACCGAAGAAGCCCAAAGATGTTGAACAAACGGGGGATCTGCCTGTTTTAGTTGGGATTGGTCGCGAAATCCTTGTGCTGCTGAAGTGCATTTTAGCTTTAGTGTTTTTAGTGGTAGTTGGGATTGTCTACATTGTAGCGAGGATTTCTTAAATTTATAGCTTTTGTGGTGGTATGCATGTTGTATAATTAACTAATTATGTTCTAGGTTTTAATATGGTATTTATGTCATGTAATGCAGATGAATCGACATTGGATGTACAATGCTGATCGTCGCTCCCAAGAATTCATGGACGGCGTGCATTCTTTGTTACGTGCAGCCGAGGCAAACAAACGTGATGGTTTCATGTGCTGCCCATGTGCCGTATGTAAGAATACGATGGAATATGCTAACTCAAAGACTCTTCATTCACACTTGTTCAAGTCGGGTTTCATGCCAAACTATATTTGTTGGACGAAGCACAGAGAAACCGGAGTTGTAATGGAAGAAGGTGAAGAAGAACAAAGGGGCGATGATGACATTTTTGGTGAATATGGTGCCTTCAATGATACTGCAATGGGGGAAGCTGAAGAAGAGGTGGGGGCAAAGGAGAAGCCCGCTGAAGAAGAGGTGGGGGCAGAGGAGAAGCCCGCTGAAGAAGAGGTAGGGGCAGAGGAGGAGTCCGCTGACGATCTTGGTCAGGCCATTCGTGACGCACAAAGAGAATGCGAAAGTGAAAAGGAGAAAATCAAGTTCGACCACATGCTAGAGGATCACAAGAAATTGCTATACCCAACTTGTGATGCGGGGCAGAAAAAGTTAGGTACCACATTAGAATTGCTGCAATGGAAGGCAACGAATGGTGTATCTGACAAGGGATTCACGGAGTTACTAAAAATCCAAAAGAAGATGCTTCCGAAGTATAACGAATTGCCCAGCACTACGTACGAAGCAAAATAGGTAGTCTGCCCTTTAAGATTAGAAATCCAGAAGATACATGCATGTCCTAATGACTACATCCTCTACCGTGGCATGGAGTATGAGAAGTTGGATGCATACCCTGTATGTCACGCGTCGCGGTATAAGATTAGGCGAGATGACCCTGGTGATGTTGAGGGCGAACGTCCCAAGAAGAAAATCCCTGCCAAGGTTATGTGGTATGCTCCTATAATACCACGCTTGAAATGTCTTTTTAGAAATAGAGAACATGCAAAGTTGTTGCGATGGCACAAAGAAGACCATAAGGTAGACAATATGTTGAGACACCCTGCTGATGGGTCCCAGTGGAGAGCAATCGATAGAGAATTCCCCGAGTTTGCAAGTGACGCAAGAAACTTAAGGTTTGCTTTAAGTACGGATGGTATGAATCCTTTCGGAGAGCAGAGCAGTAGTCATAGCACTTGGCCTGTTACTCTATGTATCTACAACCTTCCTCCCTGGTTATGCATGAAGCGTAAGTTTATTATGATGCCGGTGCTCATCTAAGGCCCAAAGCAACCTGGCAACGACATCGATGTGTACCTAAGGCCACTAGTTGAAGAACTTCTACTTTTGTGTGACATGAAAGGTATATTCTTGAAAAAGTGTCGCAAGGTCGTGTACCTTGGGCATCGACGATTTTTTCCTGTAAATCACCCCGTAAGAAAGAAAGGCAAGCATTTTAAAGGTAAGGCAGACCACCACACCAAGCCTCGCAACCGAACTGGTGAGGACGTCCTCGATATGGTCAATGATGTGAAAGTAATATTTGGAAAGGGACCTAGCAGCCAACCTGTTTCGAAGGACGCCAACGGTCACGCACCCATGTGGAAGAAGAAGTCCATATTTTGGGATCTACCCTATTGGCAAGTCCTAGAGGTCCACAGCGCGATCGACGTGATGCACCTGACGAAGAATCTTTGTGTGAACCTGCTAGGCTTCATGGGCATGTATGGGAAGCCTAAGGACACAATTGAAGCACGACAGGACCTGCGGTGTTTGAAAGAACGAGACAACCTGCATCCAGAGAAGACAGATGATGGACGCCAGTACTTAAGTCCTGCCAGCTACACTCTTAGCAAAGAAGAGAAGGACAACTTGTTTGAATGCCTAGAAAGCATTAAGGTACCGTCTGGATTCTCCTCGAATATAAAGGGTATAATAAATGTGCCAGAGAAGAAATTTGGACACTTAAAGTCCCATGACTGCCACGTGCTCATGACTCAATTACTTCCAGTTGCATTAAGAGGAATTCTACCGCCAAATGTACGTCTAGCCACCGTGAAGCTATGTGCATTCCTCAATGCAATTTCTCAGAAGGCAATCGATCCAATGGATCTAGCGAAACTACAGAATGATGTGGTTCAATGTCTTGTCAGCTTTGAGTTGGTGTTCCCTCCTTCCTTCTTTGATATCATGACACACCTCCTAGTTCATCTGGTCAAGGAGATTACTATTCTCGGTCCTGTGTTCCTACACAACATGTTCCCCTTTGAGAGGTTTATGGAAATCCTGAAGAAATATGTTCACAACCGTGCTTGGCTAGAAGGAAGCATCGCCAAGGGCTACGGAACAGAGGAGGTCATTGAGTTCTGTGTTGACTTCATTCCCGATATTAACCCGATTGGTGTTCCTGAATCGCGATACGAGGGGAGACTAAGTGGAAAGGGGACACTAGGGAAGAAAACATATATTGGTAAGGGTGATGATTATTTCAATAAAGCATACTACACAGTTCTACAGAACTCCTCCTTGGTAGATCCATATATCGAGACACACAAGAACCTCCTCCGATCTGAGTTCTCAGGGAAGTCTGAAGCATGGATTACGCGTCAGCACATGGAAACTTTCAGCGACTGGTTGCAAAAAGAATGTCAGGGTGATGAGAGTATTGATGAGGAGCTGTATTTGTTGGCTAGGCAGCCATCGTGGCATATCCTCACATATAAAGGGTACGAGATAAATGGGAATACATTTTACACAGTAGCATAAGATAAAAGGAGCACCAACCAGAACAGTGGTGTCCGTATAGATGCCACCGACCCTAGTGGGAACAAGCAAACATACTATGGCCGCATATAGGAGATATGGGAACAAGACTATGCATCTCATTTTAAGGTACCTTTATTCAAGTGCCAGTGGGTAAAGACGACTGGAGGCGGCGTAGCAGTCGACAACCAGTATGGAATGACAAAGTGGACCTCAATAATATTGGGTACAAAGGCGAACCGTTTGTCCTTGCGAAGGATGTGACTCAGGTGTTCTATGTCAAGGACATGTCTACAAAACCAAAGAGAGGGAAAA